CCGACTTCTGCAGCCTCTCGGGCCCTGCTGCCGGTGCGCCCCGCGTACCTGCCGCCGCCCGCGCTCGCCAGCGCCTCCCGCTCGCAGACAGTCGTGCCCCGAGTCCTGCGGAAAGTTCCTTTAGTCCCCAGGCTGGGCTTGCACAGCTGAGGTCTGTGGCTTCCCCAGAGCTGTGAGGTGTGGCCGTGTCTGCCAATGGGCGTGTGTGTGTGTGTGTGTGTGTGTGTGTGTGTATATCACGGTGTGTGTGTGTGTGTGTGTGTGTGTACATAACGGTACGACCTCAAGAAAATTTATTCTGCTTTTGCAAACCGCAGTCTGAAGTCCTTCACAGTGATGCAATATATCCCGTTTTATAATACACCTATTGACTAATGAGAACCCTAAAATGGAAAGTCGTCCCAACTATTCAGGGCTGAACCCACAATTGCTGAACCACCGCGTCGCAGATTGTTTGCCTTTCCTAATGCGCCCGGCCTCGCCTGAAATCCATTCTTGACTAAGTAGACACCTCCTGTCACCAACCCGGAGGACTTAAAGAATTTTAGAACCAGACAGACTCAGAAAATTAAAGAAGTCCCTGTGGGACCCTTCTGGAGCCCCCACTCAATGTGCTAAACCAGGGTCCCAAGTTTCCTTCCAGGATGCACCTGAGAGGACCTTCCCTTAAACGGTTCCCATTTTTCCACAATGTCCCAAACTAAGGAGAGTAACAAGAAGGGAAAATCATACTGTGGCATAGGAACCAAAGAGAAGAAAAGCCAGGTTCCGGGTTGCGGGTGGAGTAGAGGTCAGGGCTCTGAATCCCACGTGGCTGGCTGCATAGTTCCAGTCCTGGACCAGGTGATTTGAAATCCCCAAATTCTGAGAGGAGACTGGAAGAGAAGGAACTGTGGTGTGGCCATTTTCCCCTGGGGGATGATTTCTCGCTTTCTCTCTCTTTGCCTCTCCCTGGTGAGTTCACACACACTATAACAAAAAAACTTTTAAAAAGGAAAAGCCAAGTTCCTCATTTGTGGAGCTGTGTACCTTTGATCTGTGTCCACTCCTCCGTAACCTCCGATCTCCTTGCCCTCCTCTGTGTCCCAGGCTTCTCCTAGCTGTGTCCCTCCTTCTCATCACCTGTGAGATGCCTTCCCCACTCTGCTTGGATCCATTTGCTCCCAGACCATGGCTTCCTTCATAGAACTCCCTGGATATTCCTCTCTAACAATGCCTCTGCCAATTCACAAGCCACTTGGAAGGGCCTCTTCACATCTTAGATCTCATCCTCATCCTCATCCTCATCCTCTCTCTCTCTCTCTTTTTTTTTTTTAAGAGAGATTTTTGCTATAGGGAATGTACACTTGCTGGAGAGACAGCAGGAGACAGGGAGAGAAAGAGAGAAATCACCCACCCACCCCCACCACCGCAGGGAGGAGGAAATGGCCATGCTGCAATCCCTTCTCCTCCATTTTTCCCCTCGGGATTTTGGGAACACACACACACACACACACACACACACACACACACACACACACCCCCGGCATGAGTTTCAAGGTCCCAGGTTCCGGACTCAAACTGTGGTTGGCCATGTGGAATCCAGTAATGTAACCATTATGTGCTTTGATGATCCCCCACCCTCTCTCTCTTTTTTTTGGGGGGGGGAGAGGTTTTCGCTATAGGGCGTGTGCGCTCACCAGACAGACAGAGAGAGACAGAGAGACAGAAAGCGAGAAATCACCTCCCAGGGGGGATGGCCACGCCGCAATCCCTTCTCCATTCTCCTCTCAGGATCTTGGGCACACACGCACACGCGCCCGGCGTGAGTTCTAAGCCACCGGGTCCGGGACACGAACCGCAGTCGACTACGTGGGAGTCCAGCGACATAGCCATTACGCTAACCACTGGTTCCTCACCCTCTCTCTTTCTGATCCATGGTTTATCTTCATTTGTCTCCACTCTTACCAAATCTTCGACTGGTTCTCCCCTGTCAACTCTTTTCTCTCAAGCTAAAAACTCGATCTCTTATCCTTGAAGAAAACATTTAAAAACCTTTTAGCAATTCCCTCTCTTGGCCAAGATCCTTGAAAGAGGGATCTCCACTTGCTTTTCTCACGTCTTCACCTTCCATCTCTCCCGCTGCACTGTAATGTGGCATGAGCCCTCCACTGAGACTGTTCCAGCAAAACCCACAGATGGTCTCAGTACTGGGGGAGTCAGTGAACTTCTATTCCTCACCTATGTCACGTCATCTCTTCTCCTTCTCCCTGATTCTACCTGTCCAGAGATCTCTTCACTGTGTACCCCGTCTCTGTGAGGTACTCTTCTCACTCTGTGTGCTCTCCCAGGGTTTCATCCTCTAAATCTGTGAGGGAACCTCCAAAGTTTGTGGAAAAGTGGTATTACAATATGAGTTTATCTCGATACAAAAATATTTCGAAATCCATGTAGGGTTTTCTTAATATACATTCTTCATGAACTTTTTGCTCTACCTTCTTCTCTAAGATTCAAACTTAATTGCTTTGTTTGTTTGCTAGAGGGCGCATGCACTTCCAGGAGACAGAAAGAGAAAGAGAGAGAGCGAGAACGTGAGAAAGCACTCCCCATGGGGGATGGCCACATTGCAATCTCTTCTCCATTTCTCCTTTTGGGATTTTGTGCACACCTGCCAGGCGTGTTTTTCAAGCCACTGGGTTGGGGACTCAAACTGTGCTGTTAGCCGTATGGGATCCAGCCACCTTAACCACACTACACGCTGCCTAAAACTCATGCTTTTATATCTAATGGCCTGCAGACATTTCTGTCACCTCCATCCTCCTTCAGGAACCATTCCTGTTTTCAAGAAGCTCATGATCTTGTAGGGAGGCTGACAGTTAAACGGCAGTGAGATGTATCATTCCAGATGTGCCAGCTGCAGCAGAAGGCCAGGAAGGTGTGGTCACTTCAACAGAGGAGGTAGCAGTGGTAGGTATACTACAAGGGTTTCCTAGAGAGGATCTCTGTTTTCCCTTCTCTCCCTTTCTTGGCCTGTCTCCCATCTCTCGACACTGAAATCTCACTCATTAGGAAAACATGGTTTAATATTTATCATTTGTTCACCTTACTGAAAACAAAAGGACTTTAAAACTAGGGACCAGCTGGTGATGTAGCAGTTTCATCTCTGGACTCCCACATGGCTGACTGAGGTTCTAATCCCAGAACTGGTGCCTTGAAAATCATGCCGGGCATGTGTGTGTGCATGTTTGAGATCTTAAAAGGAGAATGAAGGAGAAGGGATTGTGGCGTGGCCATTTCCCCTAGAGGGTGACTTCTCATTTTCCTTCTCACTCTGTCTCTCTCTCCAGAGAGCACATGTACACTGAGGCAAAAACATCTATAAAAATTAATTAATTAAAATGAAACTAGGAAGTCGTGTTTCTGTCTTACTTTCCTTCTGCAATCTTAAGTCAACAATTTATCTGAGTTCTTTTTTTTTTTTTTTCAGAGACTAAAGAGGCACCTAAGACAATAACAATACTGGTGCTGGGCTCTAAATGGCCTCTGATGACATTATCATGAAATTGGCTTCCTAGATTTCTCCTAAAATATTCATAGCCTGGCCGATAGATGAAATCAAAGGTTTCCCAGCGTATAACTTACAAAACACCTATTCAAAACATGCAGTCCATTGAAAGTGTTCATTGAGCCCCCGAAAGTATTAAGGTCACAACACGGAATGTCCCAGTCGGAATGCAGTACAAATACAGGCGTGGGAGTAGTGGGGAGAGGAAGCCAGGGGAGACGGCTGGGCAAGTTGAAGTCCCCTCTTATGAAGAGATTGGTCCATATATTGTTTAGAAATCAGTGATCCGAGTCTTAGTTTCTCCCTCATAAAGTCCATGTCATAAGAAAGTTAATTGACATGAACGAATTACAAAAGAAAAGCCAATTCTATTTTAAAATATCCATTGCTTCTACTGCTCTTTCTGTGGAATATCGGTTGAATGGGGAGTGCGGGTTGTGCACACACAGCTCTTTGTCCCACTGCCTGAAGAGTTGGCAGTAAGCAGCTCTCTCAGATCCCCTCCCAATGCTGTTCCAGAACAGTGGGTGGCAGGAGTCTAGAGACTTCCTCCTGGAGCAGCAAAGCCTCTTTGGCCCTTACCCTCAGGGCAGCTGGGGTGCAGGCAGGGCCTCTCAGGCTGGCCTGTGGCAGAAAAGCTGCTCAAGGTGTCTTGCCCCAGCAGCCAAAAAGAGAAGCAAATATCTGCCTTTGGGGCAGCAGCGACTCCCTGGAAAGAGCAGGGGATGCTAGAGTCGAGCTTTCCATCCCACTAGTTTCTTTTTTTTTTGGGGGGGGGAGAGGTTTTTTTTACTATAGGGCATGTGCGCTCGCCAGACAGACAGAGAGAGACATAGAGACAGAAAGCAAGAAATCAACCCCCAGGAGGGATGGTCACACCACAATCCCTTCTCCTCCATTCTCCTCTTGGGATCTTGGGCACGCACGCACACGCGCCCGGCGTGAGTTTTAAGCCACTGGGTCCGGGACTCAAACTGCGGTCAACTACGTGGGAGTCCAGTGACATAGCCATTACGCTAACTGCTGGTTCCCCCATCCCACTAGTTTCTGATCTTGGACCTTCGTGCACATCCATTTCTTCCTTCGCGAAAAATAAATTATTTTTTAGTGCTTCCTTCTTTTTTTTTTTTCTTAAATTCAGCAAACATTTATGAAATTACTAAATTCCAATCACTCGAGTCTTGAGGATTTGAGCCCTCCCCCCTGCGTGGGACTGCTCCCTGCACCCATAGTCCTGCTGGGCCAGAGCTGGAGGGGGTCTCCTGGCCGACTCATCCAGGCTTGTTCCTCTGTACCATCTCACTTTGTTTTTCATTACCTGG